GGGTTTATGAAGTATGCAAACGTACATTTAAATAATTTCAAATCGGCAATTTTTTTTCAAAATCTGCTTTTAAATAATGTGCAATATTTTTTCTGATCATGGAAAATTATGAAATATTCTTTTATTGAGATCACGAATAAAAAGAATTAGTTTAGTTTCAAAACTTTAAATAATTTACGACAAATCAAAAACATTTTTATTCTCTCCTAGTAGAGACAAATTCAAGTTTTGTAAATGTTCCACCATATCGGTAAAGAACATTAAGTCAGAAACCCAATTTTCATTCTCTAATTGCGGGTAATGTTGCGATCTTAACTTGCGCATGTGTATATAAAAATAATAAAATAAAGAAACAACGCAATGGAAAAAAATGTCCTGCAAAGAAATGTGTACTTTAAAAAGTAAAAAGAGCCAAAATGTTCTAAGCAAAGAGGAAGTAAAAAGAGCCGCACTTTGCCAAGCAAAGAGCCGCATTTGGCTCAAAGAGCCGCGTTTGCCCACCGTTGGTCTATAAGAATTTATTGTTTCATTGACTTAATAAACCAAATGCAAATACAAACAAACCTGAGCAAACCTGGTTCGAATTGCAGCTGCCGCAAAATTTTAATTTTTTAAAAGAGACTAGTCGCTTTTTATACCCGTTCGGGTATAAAGGAGAGCAATTAGTCTCTTCATAGGACATGTTCTAACAAAATCGAACAGTTCATTCCATATAAAGAGATCAAAAATGGTATTAAATAGTCGCATGTTCCTTTGCGATTGCTACCGGAGTCATCCCGGATTAGTCGCACTTTTTGCAGGGTTATAACAGAAATGAATCGATACATGAAAGTCGGATACGCATACTTACGTACATACACATGTAGCTATAAGGACCTTTTTGGGTATACCTATGTATATACTTAAGCAGGGATCACACGATTTGTACATTTTTATAGATTTATACATTTTCTGAGTTGCAGAGTGGTGTTGGAAAGTTGTTACTAAGCTCAAAACATTATTTCTAGACAACACCATTCTGTGAGTGCCAAAATGTACAAATGTTCAAATCGTGTGATACCTATTTTAGATATAACTATGTATATTAGGGTGGTCCAAAATAAGTAAAGTCGGAATTTTAATGCCCTGGGATTGTTCTATATCGAGAAAATATACCCCTATTTTTATTTTGAAATCAAAAAATATTTATAGGTCGCTCAAAGCGCTCAAAGTTTTCCATATATTTTATATGAAAAAAAAACAACTTTTTGTATGAATGGTATAGAATTCTTAATTCTTTCTCTTCAGGAGACTTCGAATAACAATACCCAGTTGTTTATTTAACTAGTTTTTAATACTTAAGACTTTTTATTTAGAACAATCTTAGGAGGTGAGAGCATAAAAATTCCGATTTTACTTTTTCACGTGCATTTTTGGACCACCCTAATGTATATATGAAACGTTTGTAATTCAGCGCGTCTAGTACAGAAGCACGTATGGCTTCAAGAGTTGCAACAGAGTTAGTTTCACAAAGGCTTGTAGTCCTCTTTTGCTTCCATGTGCGAATGCATTTATATCTATTGTTGCTGCGTGTCATTGCTAAGTTATTAAAAGTAAATTAGAAATAAATTAAACACACTGTAAGGATATAGAGAAGAATTAGCTTTTGTTAATATTGCTTTGAGATTAAATGAATTTTCAGAACAAAGGATTTAAAAAGAGTTGAAAAGTAAACCAAATAATTTATATTCCCTGCTAAGTGAAAAACTCTAAACTGATGAGCTGTAAAGCGCACAAAGCCGCGTTGCCAAATTTAACAGTAGAGCATAAAAACTGTATTATTTCAAAACAAGCAAGACCATTTCAGGCAAGTTTTATAAATCCATATTTTGGTACGAATGGATAAGGTTTCTTGCCAGGAGCTTCCGGTGAGCAAATCTTATTTTGTGGACAAATATGAGTTTTGCAGAACGACGATACGCGGTTTTGTACTTTGAACGACGAAGTAAAGAAAACCTAAAATAAAAAATGTTCTACTTTTCCTTTTAGCTGACCTCAAGTACACTGACAATCAACGCGTTATCATCCATGTGAAGGATGTCAACGATGAACCGCCCTATTTCATTAATCGCCCATTGCCTATGCAAGCGGTAGTACAACTAAATGCTCCACCCAATACACCCGTATTCACATTGCAGGCGCGGGATCCCGATACCGATCATAATATACATTATTTTATAGTACGAGATCGTACTGGTGGTCGCTTCGAGGTGGATGAACGTTCTGGTGTAGTACGTACACGTGGCACTGATCTCTTTCAATTGGATATGGAGTATGTCTTATATGTCAAAGCTGAGGATCAAAACGGCAAAGTTGATGATCGTCGCTTCCAGAGCACACCCGAGGAACGGCTATCCATTGTGGGTGGCAAGCGCGCTCCTCAGTTTTATATGCCCAGCTACGAGGCGGAAATACCGGAGAATCAGAAAAAAGATTCAGAGTAAGTAGGAACAAAATTATGAATATAATGAATGATATTTGCAAAAACAATTTTTATATTAGTGATGGGCGAGTCCAAGATGTTTTAGTCGATTGTTCAAACATTTCGATTGTTCTCGATGTTTTCTCTCGTAGACGAATTTCCACTCGAAAATAGTCGTGCTTAAGCTGAAGCAACATATTCGCTAACAATCGACCAAATCATCTCGGCGTCCCTGCTGGCCAGCGGTTTTTAAAACATCTCGATGGTTCTCTGTCGCAGACTCTGGCACAGTGTTGGCGCGAATCCTTTTTAGTGGTAGCCAAATTCCTTTAAAAAACGGACTAAAAAGAGCTTAAAAAAGTCGTTGTGGCTAAAAATGGTAGCTAAAATTTTTTACTTACATGTACATATCAGGGTTGTTGCGAATATTCGCATTCGCACCCGCGGAGCTTCCGCATTAATTTTAACATTCGCATTCGCTTTCGCATTCGCAATATTCAATGCGGAGCTTTTGCGAATGCGAATATTGTGCAAGTGCACCGATGAAACGTATATCTGGCAAACAAAATAAAAATTTTAGCTAATATCTTTGACCTGTGGAGATGCTACGTTAAAACTGTCCCTCTAAATCCCCCCTCTTTTATAATTTCAAATCAAAGAGTAAGATACTTAGATAGCTATTTCCAGCGGAAATGTTCAACGTCTAGCTATAACGAGAATCGACAATTTTCGCGGTAAATCATAACCTTTCATTAGGTAAGAATTATGTAACTATCGAACATTAAAAACTGGATGCATCGCTAGTTTTTTTCGACATATATGTAATCTTTTTTTTTCATAAAACGGCTTATTATTATTAAGTTCCATGTTTTCTTTTATTACTTAGCCGAAAAACACTGTTTTTACTACGCAAAGTAAAATGGAATGTGAAAAAGTTGACAGCCAAGTTCACAAATCAAATAAGGATCATTTCAAGGCGAATTTAATATTTATTGAGGAGTGGGACTTGGAACGCAATATATCGTTACGATAGTATGAAAAGGGCGTAACTCACCTCGTCGGTGAAATACAAAAAGCCGTAACTAACTAAAAATTCAAAATTCACTGTTTGATAGATTATGATGCATTTCATAGAATCATAAGTCGTGGGGATCGTTTTATGCAATAACAAGATTTTAGTTAGTTGTTGCTTTTTTGCATTTCAGCCACAATGTATATATACCATACTACATTAAGGATATGTTGAAAATTTGCGTACATTTGCCTCAAAATATCAAAGCACATTGAGAACAGGAATGAAAAAAACAAAACGGATTTGATATGGTACTGACAGCGGTGAGTAAGTAATTGTGACTTACTGCAATTAGGAAAAGTCGATCTCAGCTAATAAAAAAACTAATTAGAAGCTATTCATTACAGGTGAACCATTTCAAAAAGTCACCCGGGAACTAAGCAGATCTCAGACCTTCATCCACGATTCCAATAATTCAAATTATTATAAAAAACGGGGTTCCTTTTTAACAAAAAAAAAAACAAGACTTCAAACTAATTCTGCTGGCAGCCACGACTTTAAAACCGAATTTTCTTCGAAATTTTCATGCCCAGAAAATTTTCCATATCCACCTATTTACAACCTCGCTATAAGCACACATTTTTCAAA